TACAGATATATTACTCACAGTTCAGAGAGCAGGGAGGCCCAAGATCAAAGTGCCAGCAGGTTTGGTGTAAATTGTATTAAATTAACAAGTTTGCATGTGGAAAGTAAACAATGAAAATATTTATTATGAAAACATAAGTGAACAACAGAGTTTAAACACTTGGTAATGTTCAATCAGAATGTAATAAAATTAAGTTATAATTAACACCTGTGGTTCTATATTTCAATACAAATAAAATACATAAGGATTATCTTTTAGAGATTGATAATTATATTAAGTATAGAGTAATTTGAAGGTAAAAGCAAAGAATGTATATATTCAGTAATAACTGTTGTCTTTATGGGACATTCCTTTCATGTAAGCATAAAGAAAAATGAATATGAAAGTAGAACTACCATATGATCTGGCAATCCCACTCCCAGGTATATACGCAAAAGAAAGAAAATCAGTATATCTGAGGGATAGCTGTAATCCCATGTTTGTTGCAGCACTGTTCACAATAGCCAAGATGTGGAAGCTACCTGAGTGCCCATCCACAGAGGAATGGACAAAGAAAATGCAGTATATATAAACAATGGAGTAATATTCAGTCATAAAAAGAATGAGACCCTGTCATCTGCTACAACATGAATGGAACCAGGGGTCATTATGTTCAGTAAAATAAGCCAGTCACAGAAAGACAATCATCACATGCTCTCACTTACTTGTGGGATTTAAACATCACAACAACTGAACTCATGGAGAGACAGAGTAGAAGGATGGTTACCAGAGATTGAGATGGATAGTGGAAGGGTAGTAGTATGGAGGTGAAAATGTTTAATTAATGAGTATAAAAATATTTAGAAAGGATGAATGAGACCTAGTGTTTGATAGCACAACAGGGTCACTACAGTCGATAATAATTTAATTGTACATTTTAAAATAATTAAAGAGCATAATTAGATTGTAACACAAAGGATAAATCCTTAGGGAGATGAATACAACATTTTTACATGATGTCATTATTATGCATTGCACGTCTGTCTCAAAACAGCTCATGTACCCAATAAACATATACACCTACTATGTACCCACTGATATTAAAACTGAAATATTTAAAAAAGAAAAGATGAAGATAAAATATTTAAAAACATATACCATATCTCACAAACTGGTAGAACACTATTACAGTTAATGTGCTGTCTTAATATAAGGTAAGCCCTTTACTGGAATTGAAGAAGCATGCTTCATAAAGTTAGATTAACTTTCTAAACCACTAGTAATATACATTTTTATCATTGCATGTACCTAATGATACAAGTTCAACATATAATTGAAGAAAGTGAATAAGTAAACAATCATAAATGGGATTTTAAACACTTTTCTCTCAGTGCTTAACACATAAACAGGCCAGGGAGCCTATAGAAAGATTAGAACTAGACAAGTAGTTATCACTCATAGGCACACACTCACACATATGTAGCACACTCACATATTTAATTTCACGTATTTTCCCCAAATACACTATAATCTCATAACTCTAAGCATATTAGTAAAAAATATAGGACTACGATTTCAATGTAGTACCACTAGCCAAGCTTGGCCAGTGGACAGTTAAAAAATAGCTATTCTAATACAGCATTAATTAATACAAAATAAAGAACATGTAAAACCAGTTTCTCAGCACACTAGCCACATCTTTGTGTACAAAGATGAAGAATATTTCCAGCTTCATAGAAAATGTTCTAACTACAGTTTACCTACAATAGAAGTCAATAAAAAAATCCGCCAACCTTACATGGTTTTAAATTCAGTAATACATGTCTAAATAACATATGGGTGAACGAAATTATCAAAATGAATGGTCACAATTTTTATATGAATTATAAGGAAAAAAGAAAATCTTTCTTGTAAAAACTGACTGCCCTCAATGTACATATATTACAAAAGATGGCCTAAAAATTAAATACCTGTGAATGCAGTGAAATAAATTAAAAATAGAAAAGCTAAAATTAAATACAAGTGATGTATAAGAAAAAAATGAATAAACAGTAAAAAATCACAATAAAGAATAATGTCACAATAGAGAGAAGAGAAAGGCCAAAGGTATTTTCATTGAAAATGCCACTACAATTTGATGAAAGACTACTAAGAATATACACCTATTAACACATCCACAAAAATAATAAATTTAACATTTTAAAAAATTGATAAGAGCTGGGCACAGTGATGCCTCCCAAAGTACTGGGATTGTAGGCTTCAGCCACCAGAACTGGCCTATTTCTAGATTCAACATGGAAATACCATTATGTTCTGTACAGTTATTCAGAGGCAATAAAAGTATATTTTTATTACATATTAATATCTATATGAAATAGAAAATTCATAAATACTCATTACCAAATACAGTACCTCAAATAGAAATCTGAGTATATCCTACATGTATTAAAGAAATTCAGTTTAGACATAAACTTTCCTACAAAAATAGTCTACAAACAGATGGCATAACAGGGAATGATAACATTTAAAAATAAAGCAGTACTCTCAACAAATGCTTCCAGGTTATAGAAAAACAGAAATTCTTCCCGAGATAGCCTGGAT